CCGTGATCAGAACCAAGTCCTACTCAGTCAGAAAAGGCTGGTAGAATCTCTACAGTTTCAGGGCAAGGGAATAACTCAACCAATGACTCAAGCACCCCCTATGGGACAGTTTGTAAGCCTGCCTGGGTATGTACACTGCCCAGTGATGAGCTCCATTTGATGAGATAGTTAGATCTTTCCTTTAGAGGCGTGGACCTATAGTCCAAGGTGTAATCAATGTTTTTTGCTTCTTCTCACAAAGAGAAGCTCTTTCCTGCTGGTAGTTTTACCCGGCATTTTGTCCAGGTAACTTTCTCTGACCCTGTAGCACCGTGGGACTTTCCAAAGGCTACAGATGATCAAGAATCTCAGGGCAAAACAGCCTCATCCCAAGCGTTGGGTGGAATCAATGGCCTTCACTTTAGAGGCAGTTCATTGTTTTGTTTTTGTTTTGTTTTGTTTTTGGAGACAGATCTTATTCTGTCACCCTGCATACAGTGCAATGGTCACAGCTCACAGCAACCTCAAACTCTTGGGCTCAAGCAATCCTCTTGCCTCAGCTTCCCCAGTAGCTGGGACTACAGGCACCTGCCACAATGCCCAGCTAGTTTTCCTAGTTTTAGTAGAGATGGGGTCTTGCTGTTGCTCAGGCTGGTCTCTAACTCCTGAGCTCAGGCAGTCCAGCTTGCCATGGCCTCCCAGAGTGCTAGGATTACAGGCATGAATACATTAAAAACTAACCAAGACCAGTTGTCCCCAACCCCCAGCCTTGTTATTCTGCAGCCTATCAGGAGCCTGGCCACAGAGCTCCTCCCTGGAAATCTGTGGAAAAATTTTGTCTTCCATGAAACTTAGGAACCAGCAGGAAGTGAGCAGAGGGCAATAGAGCAAAGCAGCTTCATCTGTATTTACAACCACGTGCATCACTGCCTGAGCTCTACCTACCCCCCACCACTCCGCACCCTGTTTGTGGAAAAAATTGTCTTCCATGAAACTGGCTCCTGGTGCCAAACATGTTGGGGACTGCTGCTATAAAGCATCTGTGCTGCTTAACTGTGATATGTAAATAGTAAAGATATACATTTATGCTATACAAATACTTTTAGACCAGGCACAAAGTATGGAATAGCTGGGATCTAAAGTCTTCCATGCACTGGGAAATGCTGGTCCAGAAAAACCAGCTTGGAATCCTCAGAGGACACCTGTCGGTTGTCACCCAATGTTTTATCCCTCCATAAATTATGCACAATGATACACAAAGAGCTCCTTCTGCGGCCAGCCTTGTTACAGCCACAATGTTTCCAAACCAGGGATCACAAGAAAAGTACTTAGTTAGTATGTTACACATTCACTTAAATACCTCCAGGCTAACACTTCCATTTTAAAGCAGTGTTTTCTCAATATAAAGACCTGGGTCTACCTGCTTCAGAATCACCCGGGGGGTTTGTTAGAAATGCAAATTCCTATGCTTATCTGTTTATTTATTTGTCTCCCTCGTTAGTATGCAAGTCCTAGAGAGTAGAAACTGGTTCTGATCACCCAGCTTTTAGAACCCTATTTGACACAAAGTAAGTGCTCAATAAATATTTGTAGAATGAATTAATTCCTGGACCTTATGATGATCTACTGAAACTTAAATCTCTGAGAATGGCACCAAGGAATCTGCACTTTAAACAGGTACACTAATTTTTGAGAACCAGTGTTCTAAAGTGATTCAGCCAATTCTATCAGCAAAAGGTAAAGGATTTTGTCCTAAGAGTTCTCCATATTTTCTGTCTGGTCAGACTGAAGGTAAAGCAAACTTATTAATATCCTTGGGTTAAACTTTTCCCTGGGGTACTTTCCTCCAACAAATGTGTTTATCCACCATCTGCCGTATGTCAGGCTGGGTTCCTAAGTGGACAAAACAAATACAGGCTTGGAGCAGAGCCACACCCATCTCCTTCAGAAGGGAACACTCGGAGGTGATTATTTGACAAGCCTGCACCTTCCTCCTGCCCAGAGCTCGCTGATAAGAGAATGAAACCGAGTGTATGTTCATTGTTGTTTTCCTGGCAGGCTTGGCTGACACCTCTGATTCACAAAAGCTGTGCATTTATCTTATTTTAAAGGAATCCAATATGTTTGATCCTTGGAGTTCATTCTGGAAGGCCGGGCTTTTCTTTCCAGTTATGACCCCACCTTTTACCAGTATTTGATCTCAGGCAGCTGTTTCATCTCTCAGCCTGTTACCTTATTTGAAAAATGAGATGGTTCAGCTAAAATCAGGTCTTATGCCCCTTCTAACTCTAATGTACCCTAGTCTGTAACTTCACAGAGACATCTTACTGCCTTATACTTAACAAAATGCCCTGATATGAGATGAACAAACAGTGATTGTCAAGCTAGTCTCTCCAAAATTCTCCAAGGCAAAGGGATTTTGCTTGTGATCAACTTAGTTAAAATTCAAGACTTGCAAAACAATTTCTAAGAATTCTATCTCTCATTTTACGTGTTTACCTACAAAAATACTAGGGTGATTTTAATGCACTTAAAACTTTATATGAAAGGTAAATATAATCCCCCAAGTTTCTTCAGAAATGTGAACATTTTGTTTATAATTGGGGCACAACCTGATCTAGGAGAGGTTAAAAATCGCCGCTTTGAGGAATGTTCCAGGCAAAGCTATGAAGTGTAGGGAGAAACGTAAGTGAGATGATTTCCAGAGCTTTATTCCCCAACCACACCACCCTCCGTTCTGACCTCTCCATCTCACGGAAGTTCCCTAAGGGTGGGATGCTCTGAATCTAAGTCCAAACCCTTTGCACCAAAGATACTCGTGATGCCCTTGTTCCATTCTGGCCTGGCAAACTAATCTCCAGGAACTGGTCCATCCCATCACCCAGGTCATTACCTCTCTTTGAGCAACAGCTTCATTTAAATCAATGATTCTCTGTGCTTTGAGGTTTAATGTCTGCTTTATAAACCATTTTGTCACGCCTCCTTTATGGACCAAAATGAAAATAGTAGAAACTATAACTTACCTTTTCACTGTATAATGCTCGAATTATGTTTTAAAATAAAGAAACGTTAGGCAAGTGATTTGTAATCATTTCAGTATGTAAAAACTTACGCAGGACACCCCAGAACGGTGGTTCTCAACCTTCCTTGTGCCGTGGCCCATTAATACAGTTCCTGTGGGTCGCAACCCACAGGCTGAGAACCGCTGCACTAGAAGCTATAATGAAATAGTCTGATGCCAGCTGTTAGGGTAGAAACTTACTACCCTACCTTCATGGCAGGCTGGAGAAAGAATTCTCACACAGTGATTAGGATAGAAAGAAGATCAACCTTTATTTATTTTTCTGGGGAGAGAGACAGAGAAAGAAAGAGAGAAAAAGAGAGAGGGAGGGAGGGAAGGAAGGGAGGAAGGGAGGGAGGAAGGAAGGAAGGAAGGAAGGAAGGAAGGAAAAAAGGAAGCCACCTACAGCACACAGAGGAAGGAGTAAAAATGCCAAGCAGTTGAGGAAAAGCAGCTGGTTTTTTAAAGGGTAAAAATGGCTTTTTTTCTCTGCTTCAGCAGACTGATAACAGAAATAGTGGCAAAGCAGCTGCAGGCATTCTCTCTGGCCTATCTGAATCCCTGGAATCTGGCTTTTGGCAAGAACTGAGGCAGCGGCCTGTAGGAGCAGGGTCCAATCAGGGCTTTTCAAGGCTGAGAAAGCAAAGCCTGCGAGATAATGAGTTAGGGCACCGGGATTTTAAGTTAGGGCACCGGTGTTTTAAGCAAAACAGAGGGAGTAATTGTTATCCTGAGTTTTCTCTTCAGAGGGGCCATTAGAGCTGTAAGTTCATTTCTCTCACTTTCTGTTTGATAGTTTGTGTTCCTCTGTCAGACAGGTGGTTAGTAACACCACCTCCACAGGCTGTGTATGAGAGTCACAGGGAGAGCCTCAAAGGTACCATTGCACTGTGACAAATGCCAAAATCCCAGCTGACTGTTCACTAAATGCTGACAGCATCTTCCAAGCACTTATTCTGATAATTACCTCTATTGTAAGTTGCTTTTTCAAATAGTCTTTTAAAAACCTAGATCAGTAATGTCTGGTCAAGTTAGCAAACTCCAATGAGCTATTTTGGTTTAAAGATTATTTCGCTGCCTCCTGAACCAGGAAACTACTCTGTCTGCCCTTTGATTTTTTTTCCCAAGGTCTTGAAATAGAAGGTCACAATGCATTAATAAATTTCAACAATTAAAACTAACATTTGTTGAATGCTTACCATATGTCAAGCCCTTTTAAAAACCGTTTTGCATCAATACCCTATTTAACCCTTATAATTCTATCAATAGTGTTATTTTCCAGGGATACTTGGTACAGGAGATTAAGTGACTTGACTAAGATCACACATGTAACCACACCTAGCTTCTTGTAGAGACCAATTAATTCCTCTGATTATCATAGACGTAAGCAAAGTCCTGTTAATTTTAAGGAGACATTTCAGAATGAAAAGGTGTTTCTTTCTCGAATATCTTTCTATCTTAACTGTTTGAAATTTTGAGCCCAGGATTTCTTGGCCCATTCTGTGCTTTTACACTTGGAATGTAATCAACTAGGTTTGGGCTTATTATTTTCATTCCAGTGTTTCAGAAGGGATTGTTTTTTCTTCTTGGTATTTCATCTATATGAAAAATCGCATTTGAAGATTTGGTGTAAAAAATGTTTTTCTCAATTCTTCTTTCACTGCCGATCAGGTTTGTTTTAACCAAATTAAGAGAATTACTTCAAAAGAAGTTTCTGTGCATAGTGGAGAACTGACTTGAGAACTGGCTTGACTCATGGTGTGGGCAGGAGTCTCTAAGGTGTGCCAGGAATGTAGGCATGTATTATTCAGGGAGGTAAATCTGTTTCTTCCTAGAAGCAGCTAAAGAGTTATCAACAAGATAAAGACGGGACTTTACCCTCATCTGGCTGCTTACATTGTAAAGACAACAAAGTAAATTATTCAAAGCAAACATGTAATGCCTTTTTTTTTTCTTTCAGAGGGAAAATGATCCCATCTGATCTTGAAAGAAGAATCCTTGAAGCCAAACAAAATGTAAGTTTCCGTAGAAAGCTTTATCCAGCCTATATTTCTATTTCTCTCCAATGAAGAATACGCTTTGGTTTTCTTTTATTAAAAAGAGGATCCAAACCTCAATCCCTGGCTCTAGTGAGAATATGGAATTCTGCGCCCAGCCGTTATTTCTCTGCATTGTAGGCTCTGCTTTAGAAAAATGTAAATTGCTGGGTAAATATTATATACAGGGATACTGTAAGTTTCCAAAGCGATTGTCTCCCTAGTTGAGGTGAGGGGTGGCATTCAGCAGGCACATCTGAAAGATCATTTTCACAAGCAGGAGTGATCAGGATCCTAATGTAGCTTGGGAGTTATGGTTGTAAGTTTACTTCAAAGGGGGCAGTTTTTCCTGGGTAGGCTTCTGTTGTGTGATTTGCTCTGTAAACAGCACAGTCTGTAGGAAGCAATTTAGAACTCTTTTCAGAAGTAACAAGGTCCCGAAGACCTGCCAAAGACACCCACAAACCTCCAGAAAGTCGTTTACATAGTCGTTTACATCCCTGGGTGGGTTCTCAAGCCAGAGAGTTTGTCTCTAGCATTCCCTGTTTAACTTTTAGCAGATAGAATCCTCAGGTTCTGGTTTAATGACACACATATGTGTTTTATTATTACCAACTCAGGGATAATTCTTTGTTTCCATATGCCCTTCTTTTTGTTGTTACAAAGTGGCAACAGGAGATTTCCCTAGTTCTTGTTCAGGTGCTAGAACTGCTTGAGACCATCACTAGGAGATTAAACTTTTGGTGCCACCTAACGACGGACTGTGTAACATCACGTCTTATAAAACAATAGGACAGCGTGCGTCCTTATGGAATGTGTGACTGCGATCCTGTATGTAGCCTCTTCTTCTGCCCCATTCTAGCACCAGCCTGTTACTCAATCAGTTTTCATTTCGCTAAAGCCGCAGAGACGAAAACAGCCTTAGTCTAGCTAGAAGGCCTGGCTAGAATATACAAATGTCTTCTGGGCGTCCCTGCCACCTCTGGAGTCAGCATAGCCTCTTCTGCAAACCCTATGTCTGTTCTCACAAGGCACCGTGCGGAAGGGCGCGCAGGGTTCAGATTCCAGAGCAGACATTAATTCACACCAGGACCCAGGGTGTCCATAACCCTCCTACAATTCCCAAAACACAGATGTGTGTGGTAGGGGGGTGATTTCAGGTGTTTTTCATGCAGCCTTTAAAAGCATTTCTTGCACCCCTGTTTTACATCATCGGGGGCTTTCTCATTTCTGTAGGGATTTGTCCCTTTCCTCGTGAGTGCCACGGCCGGAACCACCGTGTATGGAGCATTTGATCCCCTCTTGGCCATCGCTGACATTTGCAAAAAGTATAAGATCTGGATGCACGTGGATGTAAGTACCCTGAGGGCCTGGCCGCTACAGCGTCCTTGCACATTTTTCCTATGGAGCTCACGGAATAATTTTTTTTTTTTTTTTACTTTATCAACTTATTTTCAGAATGGTGATATTTATAGCTTTTAAAGATTTGCAGAAACAGGGTGGCGCCTGTGGCTCAAGGAGTAGGATGCCAGCCCCATATACCAGAGGTGGCAGGTTCAAACCCGGCCCCAGCCAAAAAAAAAAAAAAGATTTGCAGAAACAAATTAGCATACAACTCACACAATACACAACAAGTATTGTAAGGCCACTTGTGCCTGAATGTCCCCAACAGGGTAAGGTTTTTATCTCTATGAGGAGCACCAGAGCTGAGCACTTGGTCCTCAATTACCACCTTCACCCATGGAGGGATACAGCCTACACAAAGTCACACACATGTAGATCTTCCTTCCTGATAGAATTGATCAAAAGGGTCAAAAGGGCCAGGCACAGTGACTCACGCCTGTAATCCTAGCACTCTGGGATGCCTGAGCCCAGGAGTTTGAAACCAGAGCAAGAGCAAGACCCTATTTCTACAAAAACCAGAAAAACTAGCCAAATGTGGTGATGGGAGCCTCCTGTCCCAGCTACTCAGGAGGGAGGCATGAGGATCACTTGAACTTAGGAGTTTGAGGTTGCTCCGAGCTACCACACCACGGCATTCTGATGCTACCGCTCCTGGCAACATAGTGAGACTCTGTGTCAATCAATCAATCAATAAACAAACAAAAGGGTAAAAGGCGTTACATTTATATAGGAAATTCAAAGGGTAAGAAACTCAAGCTCAAGTTAGCTATTCATGTGTTTGGAGAGGAAAATAAGTTTGACAACTTAATGGGAAATGTGGACCACCAAATATCCAATTTCTTAGCTTGGTCAACTAGGAAGATAAATTCTATTATAGTTGACATGTTTTGACATCAGGCATAATCACACCAAAATAATGATGATGGCGGGGGTGGGGGGGGGTGGTAGTGGTTCTGGCTCACCAGAACATTTTCAAATGAGAAATAGTTTTTAGAAGGACGAATTGAAAGATTTAAAATTAGATTCAGTATTACTTAGAGTATAGTTTGAAGATCAGTTGCCATCTGCAAACTGTTTGTTCGGGATCCATGAAGCATCACTAATCACACCCATCACAAACTAAGTACAATGTTGGGTTCAGCTGATACCTTTTTCATGGAAAGACTTTCTCAGCGAAGGAATCCCTAAGTGGATGGACATTTTGGTGCAAGGCCCTTATGTTCTTGTGGGCTGGCACTTAGAATAGCAGGGCCTTAGATCACTTCAGCTTATTAAAGCAAGTACTCAGACAAAATTAGGTCCCTTTCTTTAGAAGCTAGAAACTCCCCCGGGCTAAGTGGTGCATATTCCCATTAATTATCTTGCATAGAAGTTTCCAGCCTTCTTTTCCTTCTCTGATCTGCTATGTGAGTTGTTCATTAGACTGCCAGACAGCCCTTCTTTTTATACATGAAGACACCAAAGAAAGATTGAACAACTCAGATACTTTCAGTGACCTGGTTCTCAAAAGTGGAAAACCTCTGAGCCATTGCTGGCTGACTCAGTAAACGGATTATCTGCCTACTTTTAAAATGAGAATATTTGTGTATCCTTAAGCAACAGATACCATGGTCTTCCTTCCAGGCTTTCTACATAAATTAGTACTAGGGGATCTTTTAACCATTTGTGTTAGCTTTTCTTTGAAATGCATCGTTTGCCACTTATTAGCTTTAACATTCATTAAATAATTAAACAGAAAAAACTTAAAATATTATACATGTGGAAAATCAAATAATTGCTCAAAGTATAAATGAACTGAAATTATAACAAATAGGGAAACAGTAATTACATCCTAACAGGGTTTTCTTTTTTTTTCTTTTTTTTTCTTTTTTTGCAGTTTTTGGCCGGGGCTGGGTTTGAACCCACCACCTCCGGCATATGGGGCCAGCGCCCTACTCCTTTAAGCCACAGGTGCTGCCCCTATTTTTTCTTTAAAATTATCCCAGAATTATTTGTACACGCAGAATAAAGAATGTGAACACTTTCAAATGAATCTCCATCTTGACATCCTGTTTTAAAAGATGATTACTACACCAGATCTTCAAACTTAAGTATAAGTTTTTAAGGGATATATCCTAATTGCTCAGCTAACTGGTAGGACTCTTTCCTACTTGTGGATTTTTGGTGGGTGTTTTGCTGTTTTGTTTTTTGTTTTTGTGGTTTTTTGAACACAGAAATTATCCAAAATGACACATCAATCAAATAAGGTTGTGAAGCTGCTTCCTCCCTCTGGAATCATCCAGACTTATCAAAAGCGTTTTCTTTGCAATGTGGAAGCTGTTTAATAGATGCTTGGTCCATCTGTTCTTCTGTGAACCGTGTAGACCACCAGTTTTCTCATTCTGAGAACACGGGCTTCACTGGAACTCACAGTGGGCGTTGGGCTGGGGCCAGGTTCTTTCGCCATCTCAGACAGATTGAGGAAATGTACCCCAAGTTGGCTCCTGACACTGTATAAATGTAAGATAGAGTCGGATACCATAGGGTGGCCCTCCGATTTAAACTTTGAATGCCTAGGAGCAGAAGAGGGTGGCCAGCTCCCCAGTGACCCGGAAGACACCAAACTGTAGAAATCTAGGCAATGAAAACTGCCACCTCTTTCCCTGTATGATCTTCTTTTCCAGGCGGCTTGGGGCGGGGGATTACTGATGTCGCGGAAACACAAGTGGAAAGTGAGCGGCGTGGAGAGGTAGGTGCCTTTTTTTTTTTTTGTTAACAACGTAAAGTGTTGAAAGCTGGAAAAGTGAAAAGCAAATGACACTCAATTTCCAGGGACTCTCGGAATCCAGGGGAGCCCAGTCTTTTCAGTGCTTGTATGCCTTATCGGGTGTGGCATTACACGCGTGACTATTGTGTGTAAACAAGCAAAAAAATCAAATCCCACGTCAAGTGACCCGGCTAGATTGTCTCTTAGACATAGTGATTCCTAACCAGGGGCATATTCCTGGGAACTCTGAACCACCTCAGAGTTGTTCAAAACCTGCAGACAGTCCATACTTTTCTAGGGAAAATATTTATAGCTTTTATGTTCCATAAAAGAATAATATCCACCACTTAAAAAAAAATTTTTTTTTTTTTTTGCAAAGCAAAAAACAATACCTTGTAATTTATCAGCATTGAAAGTTTGCACTTGGGGTTTAATATGTCAGTTCACATAAAGTGAAACAGACTCGTGTTCACGTCATCACACAGTTTAATTCCCGTAACCTTTTCCTCTGCACAGCACCTTTTATTTAGAGCCTCTGCTACTGCAGAGACCACCAAGAAAAGCTGCAAAATGCAAAGGAGGTTCTACTTGATTAGCATAAGGGGTCTTGGAGTCCACAGGGGAGGATAAAACACAAATTGCAAAATACTGTGTCAGGCTTTGGTGCTGGGCCACATGAAAAGGGAAGCCAGTTCTGTTGTCCCAGCACAGCCGGTCAGCTATGGGGGTGAGCTCTGTCAGTCCAAGCGACTAAGAAAGCCTGAATTCAGCAGAGGCTGCCAAAGAGCTTCACGCCAGCTCTGCCCCTAGATATCATGGCACAGTTTCTGCTCCAGGCCCAGGATAGAGGCTGGTGGAGCCTGCGAGCAGCTGTCAGCACTGAGCAAGCAAGCAGTGTGCAAGTACTGTGTGACTCCGGCCTGCTCACACTCAGAGAGCCCATGAGTGTGGATGGGGGTTTACTGGGATGGCGTCCAGGGTGCTCTGCCAAAATGGCAGAAAGAAAGCTAAGGACAATTTAGGATGGACTAGCTGAGGCCCACATCACAAGGATGATTGTCACTGAATCTGCTGGCCAGGGTCAGGGTCTGGCCAGTTGGGTCTGGCTTGGGCACAGCTAGATTAAGGGCATGGAGACCCTCCCATATTCTGACCGCAAGTGCCACTTAAGTGTGGGAGGATGAAGACAGACCATCCCCCTCCCACAGTCAGCCAGTTCCAGGCTTCTGCTTCTTGTGCTCTGGAGCTTCTCCCAGCCCTAATCCCTTCCCATCATGAAGATCTATATGGAACCAGAAACTCACGGAAGAGGCAGTGAACTCAACAGAGAAAGACCACAAAAAAAAAAGAGAGAGAGAGAGAGAGAGAGAGAGAAAGAGAGAGAAACGTGGATGTCATCTGCTCAGATGATCAGAACGAGAACTCAATTCATGTGTTTTCAAGAGAGATGGTCTAGATAGAGCCCCTCCTGTTCTCTGGGTTTCTTTCTGACTAGCACAAAAAGGGTCTCTTATTCTACGTTTGATGTCATACGTGACTGTAAGTGCTGAAAACCCTGGAACATCATCTACTTGCAAGCTCACTAAATTACCTACTCGGAACCTTAGAAGAATAAACACCCACACGCTTTTGCACTAGAGACTGTTATTTGAGAGCAAAGCTTAGAACGTTCATAGCAGAACAAGAAGTCCTCTCTTGGCACCGTGATTCTTGAAATTGTGTTGTAAAGAAATCTTTCAAATAGAATAGCCAGATATGAAGTCCTAAAAATGAGAGGGCTGCTGACGTCCTCCTTTGGAGGGGAACCCTGTTAGCCTCTCACTTTCCCTGAGATCCCCCATCCTGCTGACTTACCATCAAATCTTACTCACCTTCTTTCGTGAAAAGGTCGTAGGATCAGGGGAAAGGACTGACACATAATGTTCATGGACACACATTTAGGAAAGAAATTTGTCTCACTTGGGGGGGACTGACCCTTTTCCAAGCATTACAAACCAAAGTAAGGGGATGAAGGGTAGAAAATTACATGTGGGGTACAGTGTACACTATTCGGGTGATAGGAATACTAATAGCCCAGACTTAACCACCTTATAACATACGCGTGCAATGGAATTCAACGTGTACCCTTTATTTTTTTTAACTTGTACCCTTTAAATCTATTAAATTATTTTTCAATTTCAAATAAACAAATAAAACATAGTCACAGTCTCTAACTGCAAAATTAATTAATATCATTAAAAGTGGAGAAAATCCTCAGACATTTCTCGTCCTCAGATTCAGAGGTTCCTCGGTGGTCACAGAGGGGCCTGAATGCCATTCTCAGAGCCAAATAGTACAAGCATCAGGAGCCCTGTTCAGCATCTCCTTTAAGAACCAATCCAAATTGTCCAAAAACAACTGTCTTCCTGGTAGGAATGGCAAAGCTTTTAGCTGGACACGGTGGTGCGCACCTATGAGAGTAGTTCCAGCTACTCTGCAGGCAGAAGCAGGGGGATCACTTGATCCCAGGAGTTTAAGGTTGCAGTGAGCCGTGATAGTGCCAGTGCACCCAAGCCTGGGTGACAGAGCAAGACCTTGTCTCAAAAAAAACAGACAAACGAACAAAGACGGTGACACTGAGAGGGCAGCAGGAGCCCTGGCACTCCAAAACACACCTCCTGCATTCTATGCTGACCCCGTGCTCACAGGCTACCGCGTTCCTGTAATAGCCCATTGCTGTGTCCACTCTCCAGGCTGTCAGACCCAGTTGAAGGTTCTGGGGCAGTTTCTGCTGCTTCGCCAGTTGGCCTCCCTCCCGCCCTGAGAGCCAAGGGTTCAGAATTCGTTCTGAGGTTTCTGAATTTCTGTCTTAGGCAAATCACACACGAGGCACAAATTTCAAGGTACAGGAAGTAAAGGTTGGGGAGACGGACAAGTGGGCTCATTGGAGAGCACAGAGAAAGGAATGGTTCGTTCTGAGCAGCACTGTTACAAGACGCTTTTGCCAAGGGCATCAGTGTCAGAGCTGAGTGACAACAGATGCGGGTACTTCATGAAGCAGAAATACAGAAGGGGTTTCAGGCTGAAGAGCAGAGACACAGACGTTTGAAAGTGTGCGGAGCGTCACAGGAGTTCGGGAGGTGGCTGAGATGGATCCATGGCACTGGCAGCTGGTAGAAGAGGCAGAATTCCTGTCCAGGGAGTCTCTGCCAGGGGGCCCGCCTGGAAAGCCGGTGAGAATTACCTGGGATGCTGTCCCCGCTTCAGCTGGGAACACTGCTGTGTGAGCCACTGTGTGGGTGGAGAACATTCTATTTCTCGAGACGGGGACAAAAAAAGATGGAAAACCTCTGTGTTGGGAGCCACAGCAGGGTTTCGAGCAGAGGAGAGATAGCTCCTTGCCTGTGGTTTGGAATAGCTCTGCATTAGAGAGGAGAAGGGAGCTGGGACTGACTAGAAGCTATGAAGCTATCAGGACCCCAGGTGTCGGGGGGAGAGAGACTGAGGGTGTGACAGGGACTGTAGCAGCAGCGAGCCAGCAGGACCGAGACAGGCCCCCAAGGGGTGGTGGCGGGAGAGGAGGAAGGATGGAATGAAAACAGTTCCATCACTGAGACTTGAGGGGCTGGATGCCCAGAAGGAAAACGATGCTGGGAACACAGAAGATAGAAGAGAAAGAATAAATCTAAGGGGATGAGCAGTGGCAGGTTCATCAGTTCCTTGGAATCTGTGCAAACAAGGGCCCGAGGATGTCTTAAAACGGTCCTGGGGGATCAGTTCTCTCCAACTCAACCACATGACTGAGTCCCACGGCAAAGCATTTCGAAATGAACCTGAGGAAGTTTTTCATCAATTGGTACCATTTCTCCACAAAAGCAAGGTCATGTCATCGAATCGATCTGCATGGCTTTTTGCCGTCTTTATGAGACATCTGAATGCCTCCGAGAGACAGGACAGAGGACTTAGTGGCAGGTAGCTGTGCGTCTCGACAGCTTCTCTTCTTAACAGATGAATAGGCCGCTGCACCAAAATAAGCACCCACAGTCACAGAAAGCGAGGACAGCTGCTTCCCTCTCCCATCAGACGTCCTTACTGACAAAACTACACTCATCAGAATTGGATGTCTAGCTATAGAATATTACAGAACGTACGGAATGGTGGCGTGTATGTGCCCAAGGTCACAAAGCTCATAAATGAGAGACAACTTCATTTACTCCTCACTGTGTGTTAGGCACAGTTTTAAACACTTTACTCCAACTATTTACTGTTATTCTCCTCTTACACATGAAGCCATCTGGGCACAGAGAGGTTGAGTAGCTTTTTCAAGGTCACACAGCTAGGAAGTGGTGGAACCTGAGTGCAAAACCTTATTTTCTTACTACAGAGTCTTTCTCCCTTAGCCGTAATGATCTGTTTGGCTCAAGCACAGGTTTCTTCCCTTCAGGGTCATTTTACAGAGCCTGTAAATATTTTCTTGGAAGGAACTTTTCAATATGACAGGTTAATCTTCATTTGGTCATTTAGTCCTCTGTCCAGGGGGTCATAATCTGGCCCTGTACTGCCTTTGCTTCTGATTCAACAATTCTAATCTTAAATGTATATATCAGCCAGTGTCAGAGCCAAAGAAATACCAGCAGATGAGCTGGACTATTTGCTGGCTCAGGTAACATCCACAGGCCAGTAAGTGTCCTCTGACAGGCTGGCCGACTTCAGCCATTCCTCAAATGGATGGACAGGATCTTTCCTGGCTTCTGATTTCTTCCCAAGGTTTGGGATGAGCTGGAGTGGAGTCAGCTGTCCCTGCACTCCAGAGGCAGCAGCCACAGATCGTTCTGCCACTTTACTTTCTCCATGGGCCTGTCTGTACCACGGTCACACCCATGACCCTTAACCTGAAGGAGCCATCAGTCTCTCAGAAGATAGGCTCAGGGACTCAAAGTGCCTGATAAATAAGTGACATGAGTGGTGGGATTCGTGCTGGGAGCAGCTGCTTTTCCTGGGGACTGGAGGAGGAGCACAGCAGGAGTGAGGAAGAGACGTTGAAGCTCAGTGAACAGGACTGTGGAGGTGCCGCTGAAAGGCTCGGGGGGCTTGAAGAGTAATCATGACTCAGCCACGTGACGCGAAGGGAGATGACATTCCAGGAACAGGAGAACAGAATTCTCTGAGAACAAAACAAATAATCTGGTGTGATGAAAATGGATAAAGGAAAGCGAAGTGAAGAGATGTAAGACTCAGTGTGGCTGGGGCTGGTGGTTCTGGGGAGGGCGCCTCATGGCCAGACCACAAGGTCCAGAATCTGGGCTGGGGGCAAAAGGCGTTTTCAACAGTTGGGAAGGGGAGAGGGTTCTAAAGAGAGCCAGAAGATAATTCTGGTGCCAGGTGGCAGATGAAATGGAGACCAAGAGTCAGTTAAGATAAAACTGCTGTGTCCAGAGGAATAATAATTATTATTGAAGGAGTCTGAACTAGGACTGTGGTTCAGGCTTTTCAAATAACATAAATCCTTGAGCTGGGAATCTCTGCTGTGTGAGCCAATGTCCCCAAAGAGGGAGTGTTACATGTCTCAGATTGAGGGGGGACACAAAAGGAGTGGAACCGTCTGCCCATGGGCCCCCTGGCACATCTCTAACTCTAGATCAGAAACGAGATGGAAGCAGGGCACTAGCTAGAACCTACTACAAAACGACACATTAGCCAGGCACAGTGGCTCACGTCTGTAATCCCAGCAGTCTGAGAGGCTGAGGCAAGTGGATTGCCTGAGCTCACAGGTTCAAGACTAGCCTGACCCAGAGCTAGACCTTGTCTCTAAAAATAGCCAGGCATTGTAGCAGTGGTCCCAGCTACTTGGGAGGCTGAGGCAAGAGGATCGCTTGAACCCAAGAGTTTGAGGTTGCTGTGAGCTATGATGCCACAGGACTCCACAGAGAGCTACAAAGTGAGAATCTGTCTCAAAAAAAAAAAGAAAAAAGAAAAGACACATTAGAGAAATGTAGTCATCAATTAAATAGAAAGGAGAAATGGAGTTGAGAGAAGAACAAAATTCAGCCATGGACTGAGCTTGCTCTCTGAGCTCCAGGCCACTGTGATGGCAGGGAAAATTGGGGGGGGGAGGGGAGGTCAGGAGGCTGCTGCCCTGACCTGCCAGGAGCTCTGATCCTCAGCGCCAAAGGCGGGGGACCCTGGATAGAGTGATCCTGGTCACTCAGCTGGGCTCTTCTGAGGCCACCCTGGAGGCAGAAACGCAGCTAACTATGCTTCTGCTGGAGCTCGAGGACACCACGTGGAAACCTGCACCCGCGCCTACAGTGTCTGTGTACAAAGACAAGTGGCATGTTTAAGATTCTACTTTTTGTTTTATAAAGTTAGTGTCATCCTAAAGAAACAGAAGCTCTGCTGCCCATGTTCTCCACCTGTCAAGGAGTGTCATTCTCTCACTTGATTTGTGTATTTCAGGGCCAATTCCGTGACGTGGAATCCACACAAGATGATGGGGGTCCCTCTGCAGTGCTCTGCTCTCCTGGTTAGAGAAGAGGTACGTCCTCACTGACTCTGCACCCCGGCTATCAGTGGGGCTTCAGTGTCATACAGTTGACTTTTCTCTTTAAACAGCAAGATCCTCAGGTCTTTTCTACAGTGGCTCATGTTCCCCAGAGAGGAGCCTTCTAAACACCTGTCTAGAGGATAAAAGTATGGTGCCTAAAAAGGGGGAAAGACAGGAGATCTCAACTTTCAGAATATAAACGTGGACCTATGACCTCAGAAAGGGGGATGAAGGAAAGGACGAAGCATGTTTAATGTTGGGAGAAGTGGAAAAAGAAAAAGAAATGTAAAGGAGGGAGAGCGGGATAGGAGCCTTCATAGTTTAAAGGACTCTTGAGTGGAAGAGATTCATTTTTTTCCTTAAGGCTTTTGGGTGGTAGGGGTTTAGCAACGCTGAGTAGGACCAAGTTGATGGCAAAAATCAAAACATACTATGGGCTCAGCACCCATGGCTTAGTGGTTAAGGCACCAGTCGCATACACTGGGGCTGGTGGGTTCAAACCCAGCCCGGGCCAGCTAAACAACAATGACAACTGCAACAAAAAATAGCTCAGTGTTGTGGCGGGCACCTGTAGTCCCAGCTACTCGGAAGACTGAGGCAAGAGAATCACTTAAGAGTTGGAGGTTGCTGTGAGCTGTGACACTACAGCACTCTACATAGTGAGACTCTGTCTCAAAAAAAAAAAAACTATGATTTTAGGTCTGACATGGGTTCAATAAAAATAACGGTTTTCTAAAAATTAAGCTGTCCTATGGTAGGAAAAAAGTACTCATGGGAAGTGAATAAATAGAGATTAGACAGCCACTTATTAGTAAGAAGATAGGGAGTATTCCTTTATTGGGTGGGAAAACAGTAAATGAGTTTTCAATACCCTGAACCCAAGAGTTTATGATGCTCTGGCAGCATTTCTTTTATTGGGGTCTGAGGAATCATACTGTTTTATAAGAAGGTAATAAGTGTTCTGGGATATGACAGTTCTTAGCATTAAAAGGGTTAGGACCTACTGAATTAGAAGTTAAAACAGGTTTCATTATTTCAGGGCTTACTGGAGCCTTTAATATACTCATATGCATTGCAGTATCTAAAAAGAAGGTACAGGTTTCTAAATTGAAGCATGAGAATCTCTTTCTGTACAGCAACTATTAACATGTTTTACCTCAGGATATTATCTCACCAAGGCCTTCTGTGTGAAAAAAGCATCACATTTTTACTTGTCCTTTGGGAAATAGTTAACTAGTGCTGTCCCAACTTTTTAGAGGTCATGTGTTTTGAGTTGCTTTTTCTCTCCCAATTAGAATTTAGTCTGTTCCATTCTGTACTCTCTGAGGTGGTTGCCCTTAGTCCTGATGGGAGATTGATGGCATCCATTTGTGAACTTGGATGGCCAGGGGGAAGAATAATACAAAGTCTCTGTGACCAGGAGATCAAATGGGAGGCACCTGTTGCAATGTTCACATCTTATGGGTCTTCAAGTGAATTTTCTTTTTTAAGTTCATTGTCTTTCTACTGCTCTAATATAAATGTGCTGTAATGGATTTTCTCAATCTCAGAAATAACTTAATAGATTCCTGCATATGAAGCATAATCTCCAAGGTAGAGTCTAGTTCTGTTGCTTGCCGCCTGGGCACTCTGTCTGTCAAAACTTAGTTAAAATTGTAGCTTTATTGCCACTGTGTTCTCGTTTGGATGATTTTCAAAGAGTGCTCTCACTTCAAACTTCAACTAAGTGATCACACTTTAGTCTTTTCTTGGCTGCCATCACGAGAGAAGCAAAAACCAAATGCCAAAGCTCTTGGAAAATCACAATCATACAGTAGATAACAAAAGAGTCAAAGGCTCCCCAGCGGTTCGTGACAAACTGAAACGTGGTGGGATTTCTGATGAGGAGACTGGGGACCCTATTTTAGTCAGACAGCATGATTCATTCACTGTTCTTTAGAACGGTTCAATCACTTTGCCCCCCATTTCCATGGTGAGGTTATGGTGCGAGGGCAAAACAATGGGTATGGACAACGAAACTTTCCACCGTTCCTACCACAAGGAACAGAGTAAGAAAATGCAGAACCGAAGGTCTGACCACTCTTGAGAGAGGAACGTGACATTAGAAAGACTGGTTATTTAAATGCATCTCAGATTTGCAATGTCTTTTTTTAAGATTTCAACATAGAAAAAGAATAGCAATGGATTGTCTTACGAGCTATGCTTTCCAAAGATGGCTCAAACTAAGAGTTGAATAATAAAGCCCTTAAATTAGATATGAATGAAAATGCTAGAAGAACCAGCCTAATGATATCTTACAGAACCGAAGAGTTCCCAAAATATTTAAATGACAACAAAACCAGAATATCAGGATATTCTGCCAAAGAAGGAACCTCATACTCTGATTTTGACTTTTAATTTATTGATTGAATTTTTTATGAATGTTTTCTCTTAAAAGGGAGAGTAAGTATGAGTATGTCCCGGTGAACCACTGTGACATTTGTCCAGAGCTGATCTATCACAACAGCTGAGCACTCCTGTCCAGAACTGTCACTCCCGTCCACCTTTTTATGTCATTTGATTCTTACCATTTTCTTTCTCAAACATATACAATCCCTTTTTCTTAATAATTCCCACCACAAAATAATTCTGATGAATAGCCATTAAGAGTTTCCTAAATCTTCTCTTCTGCCTTTTAGGGATTGATGCAGAATTGCAACCAAATGCATGCCTCCTACCTCTTTCAGCAAGATAAACATTATGACCTGTCCTACGACACCGGAGACAAGGCTTTACAGTGTGGACGCCATGTCGACGTTTTTAAGTTATGGCTGATGTGGAGGGCAAAGGTGAGCTTGTGTAAAACAGCGGAATGTCAACTAAGAAAAAACTTTTTCTGATGACACCTATTAGAACATGTTGAAAAATTGATCTCCAAATTGAAAATTACCTACCCAAGATTGTTTCTTTCTTCTGTATCTAAATACCCCCATTCTACACAGGCAAGAATCTGATCAAATCCATTGTTTGCTTTTGTTCCTTTGAGGCTAAACTGCTTCTGAGGCTCACTCATGCAGAAAACACATCCATTTTGCTTCATATGGCAAAACACCTCGACTTATAGTAGGCGGTAGTTGTCATTGTTGGGTTTTTTTATCCCCTGACTCTTGGGTTGCTATGCCCAGTGATTGATCACCCAGGTAGGTTAATGCAATCTGAAAGGAGATGTTTAGAGAATAAAAAGAGAAAGAAAAAGTCCACCGTGATAGCTTATTTTGGACATTGCAATAGACAACCTCTAGCTAGGTTTTTATAAAAACTCCAGCAGTACGTACTCACCTGCTTTTGTTGGGTTTCTCTGATTACCTCAGAATTGAACTGTACGTGATCATTCTCACGGCAAGGTAAACTCTGTAATCACTGGTGTGCAGCACTGGCTGGACCTACTTGTAGCCTTCCAAGGGCATCCAGTTATGTCTAAACATGGGCAGGCTGGAAAGGTCAAAGATTTGAGTTTTAATCTTGACCAGATTTCTCATTTAAAGGTCACAAATGAGTGACTTCATTTATCTCCCACTGAAGGCAAATCTTCCTTTCCAGCCCTGGCCTGACTTGGGAGCAGAATGCACAGGGCAGGGAGGGGTTCTGGCCTTTCAGGCTTTACCCCATCCCTCTTGGGGATCTGTCCCTGCCCAGGCCAGGGCTTGTCATGTCTTCAAGACTGCAGCCAAAGAGCATGGGGCAGCTCATTGCCGTGGTCGGGATAGAAATTGTATGCCTGGGAGACTGGTGGCTGTGTGACTTCAGCATTCTGGCTTTGGTTTCCCCTGCCTTGTAGAGGGGCCAGTCATGTCTGCTATAGAAACCCCAAGGCAAAGCACGTTCCAGGGAAACCTACAAAGAAAAATAGATAGGGAGAGAGTTAAGGGGTCAGCCTAAACCACAAACAGAGCAAGGCCCCCTAAAAGAAAAGATGTTTCTTGGGGAATAAAGCACTGCAGTGGGGATACACTCAGTATGCTAGGAAACATGCATATTCAGGAATGCAAAAGAAGACAAAAGTTATTAAAGAAAAAATAATGGGGAGGATTGCAGGATTGTTTTGAAATAATTATCCTTGGCTACTGACATGAATGACGAGGAGGACACCAGTCCAAGGTTGGACAGGTCATTGCTGGGCAGACGTCCTTGCAGAAGTATCCTTTGTGTAAGGTGGTGAAGGAGTTTGGGCAAGGCTGTGGTTTTGCAGCCTTTGTGACTGTGTTTGCTGTCAGGCATACCGGCATGAGAGCCCTCTCTTCGTGGCCTTTCCTGGCTCTATCTGGGGGTTTTCTTGGCATTAGTGACTCCATTTTGGTACTGACAACTTTCACAAATGGAAGCTGATGTGCCCTTAACTCCTGTATTGGAGTTGGTGCCTGTAGTCCTATGTACACCGGAGATTGAGGCAGGAGGATCACTTGAGCCCAGGAGTTTGAGGTTGCTGTGAGCTATGACACCACGGCACTCTAGCCTGGGCAACAGAGTGAGACTCTGTCTTAAAAAAAGAAGGAAAAAAGGAGCCCCTTCCACCCTTACACTACCCTTACCAGGCCACATGGTAGAGCCTCTTTGCAAGTAGCCTGATACTTAGCAACACTTAAAGAAAACTCAGTTGGGGGAAATACTGAGACTCTCTTTACAGATCAATAAAGGGATGCAAGGCAAAAACTGGGGTACAGGCCTAAGACTCTGTGAAGGCACAGGCTCAGCTAAAAATAATGATAATAAGTCATCAGTGTCTGCCTTGTTCACGTCTCTATAATTGTTGCTCTGAAGTCCCACAGCTAGTGGTCACAAAGATTCGTCACTTTCTCCATAGATAACGTCACCTTTTCCAAACCTAGTGATAGTTTCCCAAAGCCAGTAGCAGTGGCTCACGCCTCTAATCCTAGAAGTTGGGGAGTCTGAGGTGGGTAGACTGCTTGAGCTCAGGAGTTCAAGACCAGCCTGAGCAAGAGCAAGACCCTGTCTCTACTAAAAAGAGAAGAACTAGCCAGGTGTTGTGGTGGGAGCTTGTAGTCCCAGCTACTTGGAAGGCTGAGGCAGGAGGATCACTTGAACCCAGGGATTTGAGGTTGCTGTGAGCTAGGATGACACCATGGCACTCTACCCAGGGTGACAGAGTGAGACTCTGTCTCAAAAAATAACAAAAGATACCTGAGGTATCTTCCAGGTCTCACATTCCAGTGGATTGGCTGGCCCACCCACTGGCAACCCAGGCCAACAGTTGACTCAACTGGAATTGTGACCCCAACTGTGCCAACTCAACACAAGAAGATTGCTTAATTCTTTGCCTGACAAAGTATCTTGAAAAACTCTGTCTCCCAAATTCTCTGGGAGGCAGATTTGAGAAATTCCTCCTGTCTCCCTGCTCAGTGCTCTGTGTAACTAATTGAACCCTTCCTCTGCTGCTAACACCTGCTGCCTCTGTGTGCTGCCTTCCCCTTGAGCAGCGGCTTTGAACTTGGTTGGATGGTGACAATACAACCAAAGAGGCTTCCCTGAAACCATCTACGAGTTATTTCTGCATTAAGCAAGACCTTTTTTCTATTTAACTTGCCTCTTTTTTTCCCAGAATGGATTTAAAGAAGATTCCATAAAATACTTGCGGATTACATTGTTTCATTCCCAAGCCTTCTCGTTTTCTTGTTAGCCATATACCCCATCCCCACTGTTTAAGGCAATTCTGTTTACTGTACAACATTTTATAAACAATGGCATGTGGAATCCATCAATGTTTCTACACATCTATAAAGATGGATGTCCATCTTTATATGGACCCACGATGCCCAGCTAGTTTTTCTATTTTTGGTAGAGATGGGGTCTAGCTCTTGCTCAGGCTGGTCTCGAGGGATCCTCCTGCCTCAGCCTTTCTTCCTCTTTTAAAAGATGGGAACCTGCTCCCCAACACCCAGCATGACTCATTCTGTTGGCAGTGACACTGTCATTTGGTAGAAAGGGAGGGGAAGAAAAGGGAAGGGGACGGAAGGGAACAGAAGGGAAGAAGGAAAGGAAAAAGAAAAGGAAGGAATCAAGAATATAAGTTATTGGTGCACTCCCAAGCTATTTTGGAATAGGAGCTGGTTTTTCATTTCATCAATTGGTGGGAATGACAAAATGATAAATATATAAATACCAGGCAGTAAGTTGAGGAAACCTCCATCTTTACATATGGCGCAAGTTCCCTCTGACTTTTAGCATCGTTCTCTTCATCTCTTCCTCCTGTCATGCTTTTTTTTTTTGCATTGTAATTTTTTTTTATTAAATCATAGTTGTGCACATTAATACTATCATGGGGTACAGTGTGTTGTTTCCATGTACAATTTGAAACAGTCTCATCCAATTGGCCAACATAGCCTTCGTGTCATGCTCATAGTCATTGTGTTAAGACATTTGTACTCCACATTTAGAGAGATTCACATGTAGCCTTGTAGGATAGATCATAGGCGTGATCCCAACATTACCCCTCCCTTCACCCATCCTCCCCCCTCCCCTCCCCTCCCCCTCCCCTTTCCCTGTATTCTTGGGCTTAACCTGGGTTATAGCTTTCCTATGATAGCTAACTATCAGTTTCATAGTAGGGTTGAGTACATTGGATACTTTTTAATTATCCTCTTAATAAAAGCACAACAGTGGGCTGATGAGGAAAATGTCTAATAAAACTGAATACACATTTTCCTCATCAGCCCACTGTCATGCTTTTATTAAGAGGATGATCATTAGCTGTGTTTGCATAGAAATGTTTCTCATGGTTCATCAGTTCCTCCTGCTCTTTCTTTACCTGAAGCGTCTCCTCCAGCTCTGTGCAGCCCTTTGGTTCTTAGAGAAATAACTTGCAGGACATCAGGTGTAACTCCAACAGCAGGACCAGACAAAGTCTAAAGTAAGGGCAAGAGATCCGGTTCTTAAAGCACTGAAATAAAAGCACAGGGAGAGAGGACGAAAGGAGGAAAGAGAAAAATCACTGCGGCAGCATCACTCACAAGAACGTGTCCTTCAACCCCTTACATAAAACCTCAAGTATCTAGACACCTAAATGGCCAGAAACGTCCATTTGGTTTCCAACCTGAAGCTGTATTTTTTCTTTTTTTTTCTTTTTTTTGCAAAATGAAATGATAATAGTTATTAAAATAATAAGCTCAGTCCTGTAATCTAGATCAAAGGTAAAGATAATTATATCCACACATCAAAAACTCACAGGAAGCCTCTGTTCTCAGAGGTGCCTGGAGAATGTGATTTTCTCGCCTCTTCCCCACCTTTTCTCCCAAGGTAAACCCCATGAGACATAGTAACCTAAGTGTAAATAAATCATTATTCTTCAAACTCATCTGTTCATGACTAATGAAGCTATGGACAGATGATGGCCATATTAAGTCTAAAACAAACTGATTGTGCAAAAAGTGAGACTCTTGCTTTGAGGTGCTGAGAGGCCATTCTAGAAGGGGATAAACTATGCAAGTTTCATCAGCAAAGACACCATGCCTGCCCTCGACCCTGTTCTTATGCAGTAGACCTTTCATTTCATCTGCATTTTATTATGGAATCCTAAGACTTCGCGATTATTTTCCACTTTGACAGGTTGCAACAGTGGCTAAAACTCAACAACTGACTAAAAGAAATAACCTCAAGATTACTCTCCCTTTTTGGCTGGGGCCGGGCTTGAACCCACCACCTCTGGCATATGGGGCCAACACCCTACTCCTTGAGCCACAGGCACTGCCCAGTTACTCTTCCTTTTTTTAGGCCTGCAAGGATGCTTAATATGTGACAACAGAGGTTTCATAGTAAATCCCTGTTTTTATACATGGTTACACGAATTGGCAGGTTTCCTTGCATTGGCTCTGCAATTAAAAATGGATAATAAAGAAACTGGCAATGGCCGAGGGAAAAAAATAACAGGAAAAAATTATTGAAAGCAGATGGACACCTGACATCCTTTGCTGAATGATTGAACGTTGACTTTCTGTCTAAAATATGAATTTATTTTAGTAAGTAGATTTTGAGCATGTATGATCATACCTGATGCTGAATGGGAGAAGGAGGCTCTTGTTTTCCAGACGGGGTAAGGGTAATTCACAGAGAGCTGTCATGTAAGACAGAATGGATCTGGTCAGAAAAGACACACAGATACTCCAGCAGCAATTAAAAGATGGGGAATCCAGTCCTAGTTTGAGAGTCAAAAATGATGTATCAAGAGATGATCTTTGATACGGGTCTTGAAGAAAAGAGGTAAAAGATACAGAATTCTAGCCCACAACACTGTGAGAAGGCTGTTCCAGGAAGCTGCAGTGTATTTTCTGAGCTACAAGAAAGTCTTCATGACTGAAGGATGATTTGGGAGCTATAGCCCAGGTGAAAAGTAAGAAGGACTGAGTGAGGGGGGTGGCAATAAAAAGCAAGAGATCAGCAAGGGATTCAGCAGTTATTTCAGAAGCAGCATCTCTGCTCAGAGCCTTTATAAAAAGGCTTCAAGAAGCAGAGAAGACTCATGGCCAGCACCCAAGATGATAAAGCCCAAGATGACACAGAGGTCGTTGCTGAATACTCGGTTCACAGTGAGAGCTCTGAAGAAGATGAAATAACATTGTCCATCTCCCTGAAATTCTGATTTGGGCGCCTGGGTTGGGACCTGAGAAGCTCCATATTTAACACCATCTGGTTTTGATACAGATGGCTTCTCCAAAAAAAAAAGAAAATTGTGTCCCTGTGTGGAGAGTCAGAGAGGCACTCTCACTCCTGTCTGAGCAGAGAGAGTAGCCAAGGCCACACAGCAGGCAGGGTCAGCGAGGGTGGCTCTGGCCATGTCCAAGATCAGATACATGATAGTTTAAACCCAACTCTAGACTAGTCTGAAGGACGCAGTTTGGAGGACAACTAGCTTTCCTCTCTTCTGCTATCCCAAGTGGACCCAAATTGTCAGGTTGGTTCAAGCCAATTCTAATTTCATTAGCACCCACAGTCAATGGAGCCATGGTGCTGGCTGGAACACTGAGGCATTAGGACCTACCAGCCTTCCTTGAGCCAATCAGCTGGGCCAACAATCTCCAAAGAAATGGATTTCTGAACCCACTGGATTTCTCCAGTGCAACTTGTTCTTAATCATACCTCGGATGTCACACACCACTGGGCCATGCCGGGCCCCTACTGAGCTGTGTGTAAACAGGCAGGGGGACCCACATCGTCTTTGCTGAAGCCGCTGCCTCCATCTTCCTTGTTGGCTGAGTTGCTGCTAAGCCAGTTCAAAGTGCTGCTGGGGCGAGCACTGGCTGTTTTTCTAAGCTTTCTTTTAGAAATCAGAAAATGTGAAGAACACAAGAGGGAAGCTATTTTGAGAATAATCCCCTTGTATGTCCTGACATTGGTTAGCTTCAGCCCAGGACCGCTGTGATGATTTTCCTAAGCGCAGCTCCATTGAAAGACCTCGGTGGTGACGTTCATCCATTACAGACACATGAGTCATTTATCTGTCACCGAAGGAGAATTCTCTGCTCCTGGCAGAATGACAGGCTAAAAGAGCCTCTGTGAGCTCCCTAAGATTCTCTTATCCATTTGTTCAGCAAATTCATTGAGCACTGTGCCCTATTTGTTTTATAACAGATATAGTGGGGGTTGGGAATGGAAAATTCAGGTGTCGGGTGGGGGTAAGTGGCCTCCTGGGGGTCTCTGATGATGCTTCTTGTCTTCGGGAAGAGAATAGCTCAGCTCTCTCGTTATTAATGACTTCCGTGGTTACTCTTGCGAATAGCAGAGACAAATTTTCCCCATGAGTAATCAAAATAATTGGCTAGGGATTGGAGGCTCTGGAAGAAAAGAAGTCTGCAGCAGAAAGCAGTAAAAAAAGGGGAACAAAATCACCTGAGGATGAGAGCATTGATGAGAAAATTTAAGTGCTAGAAAAGCGTAGAGACAGTCTTGGAACAATGAAGGGTCAGATGCGCTGAAATGAAAGACCTAGGCAGGTCATCTGTCTGCAGAGGGATCACTCATCGTCCCATGTTCCCAGCCCATCTAATGAGCTTTTTTTTTTTTTTTTTGTAGGGAACTACTGGGTTTGAAGCTCATGTTGATAAGTGTTTGGAGCTGGCAGAGTATTTATACAATATCATAAAAAACCGAGAAGGATATGAGATGGTGTTTGATGGGAAGGTACGTACTCGGGTTTCCACCATCCCAAAAGATTTAGTCCATTCCAGTTCTTACCACTGAAATTGTTTGATGCGAATGACGTGCTGTCCAGGTGAGTGGGACCATCCCAGAGGGGTAGCTATTCTGAGCTGGAATAAGAATCCAACTGACAAATGACTCCTATCATGTTGAGGAAGTCGGGTCCCCCAAAGGCAATTCCTGATTTAAAGTAGGAATCGTATGGCGAACCTGCCAAATAAATAGATTGGAAGTGAAATTTCAAAATTGCTGGCTTGGGCTGGGTGTGACTCTTCCTTCCCTCCTTGTAGCCTCAGCACACCAACGTCTGCTTCTGGTACATACCTCCAAGTTTGCGGACTCTGGAAGACAACGAAGAGAGAATGAGTCGCCTCTCAAAGGTATGTGCTCCAGGCTCCTCTGACGTGAGTGTACGCTGCACTTTTCATGCGAGTGCCTTCTTCACGATGTATGTGTGTATCTTCAGGAGGTATCGGACCTTGGTGCAGGGCCCTCTCCCTTTTGTGGGCTCCTGTAAGGTCAAGACATATGGAGCTCCATAGAGCCTGCCTTTTAACAACTCTACTTGCTTGTTTTCTGAGAGCCAGTTTATGTTTACTGCCATTCACAAAGTAGCATGAACCATGGCTGAAATTGACTGATTGTCCAACCGAAGTTGATGTTCAATTACCAGGATAACATGGGCTTCCGGTACCAGAAATGGTTAGAAAATGGAGCTGCTGTGGACCTTCTTGAGATGTCAAGGCTACCTTATGTTTTTTGTTTGTTTATTTGTTTGTTTTGTTTTGTTTTGTTTGAGACAGAGTCTTACTCTGTCACCCAGTGTAGAGTGGCATCATAGATCACAGCAACCTCAAACTATTAGGTTCAAGCCATCTTCTTGCTTCAGCTTCCCAAGTAGTTGGGACTACAGGCACCTTCCACAACACCTGGCTAGTTTTTCTATTTTCGGTAGAGACGGGGTCTCACTCTTGCTCAGGGTGGTGTCCAATTCTTGAGCTCAGGCAATCCACCCTTCTCAGCCTCCCAGAGTGCTAGGATTACAGGTGTGAGCTGCTGCAGCCTGCCCCTGTGGAATCTTTAGAGCACCAGCGACCCTCAGAATGTAACATGGCAAAGAACAGTATAAACAGCCATCATTCAGAGTGTCAACAGTGTCCCAGGCTCAACTTTTATAAGGCATTAGATCAGGTAAAGCCCATAGGAAGTGAGTGATACAGGAAGGACTGTTGCCACTGGTTACCTTCAAAATATTCTCCTTGGGTAGCTATGCACTGATTCCCGTGTCTAGCCCACCCTTTAAAGCAACTTGGAAACTCTTTTTCTGAAATGGCCATCAGAGCTGTTGTCATACAAAGGTCTGACAATTAAGTTGGCAAATTTGCCACAATGCAAGTTAGCTGCACTATACAAACAACTTGGTAAGGTTTCATACCTTGGTATATCAGTGTCTCATAGCTGTTTTTTTGTTTGTTTGTTTGTTTGTTTTGAGACAGAGCCCCAAGCTATCCCCCTGGGTAGAATGCGGTGGCATCACAGCTCATAGCAATCTCCAACTCCTGGGCTCAAGCGAGTCTCCTGCCTCAGCCTCCCAAGTAGCTGGGACCACAGGCACCTGCCACAACGCCCGGCTATTTTTTGGTTGCAGCCATCATTGTTGTTTGGTGGGCCCGGGCTGGATTCAAACCTACTACCTTAGGTGTATGTGACTGGCACCTTAGCCACTTGAGCCACAGGCAGCGAGCCCATAGCTGTTTTTATGTTAATGTGTGGCAGTGTCTTACTGAGAGTCATTCATTATTGTTGTTATATGTGTGCTGTACAAAAAGGACTCTGATGGTCATTCCAGAAAAAAGAGTTCCAAAATTTCTTAGAAGGGTGGACTAGGCCCTGGAGTTGGTGCATAGCTTCACAAGGGGAATACCTTGAAGGTGACCATAGTGATATTCAGCAATAAGGTACTCTTATGTGGCACTCTTTCTAGGATTAGTTTGCAAACTTAATTGTCAAACCTCATACATTTCTATGGTATCTTGTAAGTTTTTTATTTCATGATGCTTTTTTATGAGCTTTCTTTGGAGAAAACAAATGTGGGTTCAAATTATGCAAGAGTCCCTTGGTTATTTTCCAAAAGACTGAAAAATCTAATGGCACAAGGGAGAAACAGTACCCTAAAACTCTTAAGATAGCCCCAAAGAGCTCTTACGGATTAGGCCTTTAGTGAATTCTTCAACATACAGCTTCTCTCTTTCTCAGCAAAACCGAGAATCCAGCAACAACAACAACAACAAAGCCTAGAAATAAGTGAAAGCTCTATATATTCACCAAAATAGTCAGAATCTTATTTTCCTTCTCAATTTACAATTAGTGAACAAACAATGAAGTAGATGTTCCATGTTCCAGCTAATTTTAGTTCATCTGCATTTTGGGAAGCAATCAAGAGTTGTATGTATTTAGACATCTGCAATTTCCGCCAACTTGGCTTGCTTCAGGAATGGGGGGAATTCAGTCTCACTTTATGACAAAATCAGATACATTTTGACATTATTTTGTTGACATTATTCTGTTGACCTTTGATTTGCATTCATCTGAAAAGTTAAGGGATAATTGTCCTTAATAATTAGTGCCATTCTTATGTATTTTTGCTTGGGCAGCTAAGAAAAATAACCAGAGTTTAATTCACTGGTAAGCATTGTCATTATTTTATCAGTTCTAAAGAGCAAGCATGATTTACTATACGGATAAAATGAAGGAATACTTGTTGGGGGTTGGGAGTGCCCCAAACCAAATCGATCTGGTTCAATTACTTGGCTGAGCTAGAAAGTTCAACTGAGGCACCAGGGTAATCAAATCAAAAATGAGGCTCAGTGCCTATAGCACAGTGGTGAGGGCACCAGCCACATACACCAAGTGTGGCAGGTTCGAACCCAGCCTGGGACAGCTAAATAACAATGGCAACTGCAACAAAAAATAGCTGGGTGTTGTGGTGGGTGCCTGTAGTCCCAGCTACTTAGAAGGCTGAGGCAAGAGCATTGCTTAAGCCCAAGAGTTTGAGGTTGCTGTGAGCTATGACACCATAGCACCCTACTCAGGGCAACGAGGTGCAACTCTGTCTCAAAAAAAAAAGCAAAAGTGAGTGGAAACTTAAAATAAAACTAAAGTAGCTCAGGCAATGTGGATAGAAAGCAAAAGTAACTTACACAAGTTCCAAGGTAACAAAGAGAGATTTTATTTAGGAAGAACAAAGAGAAAGTTTTAGAGCACTTCCAAAGAGCGCTACAAGTGGGTCTCTCTCATGAAGGAGAAAAGTTTAGAGAGGAGGTGATGCAAAGGCCCTAGCAGAAGTAAAATACTCTCTTCATTTGAAATTGGTTGCAAGTCTTTCATTGGCCTCTCTGCACCTCCATCATTGGTCACTGATGGTCTCTTTCTAACGGTCATTGGTTACCATAACCACATTCATAACGACATTCTTATAGGCCCTCTAGATTTCCTGGTTCAGCAGGCCAGGTTTTCCTCCCACCCCACCCCCGTTCATAGTGTTTCTGCTCAATATTTACATGACTTTTCCTTAAATTCTTGCAGCCATGTAGATCTGGGATTCCTTTTCTGATTTTGGATTTCTCTTCTCCAGAACTACACTGACTTAACATACCTTGCAGCATAAACTGATAAATTTCATGCTTTCTGGGATAGAATATTCTAGAAGAATTATTTTCTGAACTTAATCCTAGTCTTGACATATTTCAATTATTTTTTATATTTATCCCCCATAACGAGCCTGTGCTCTGCGTACATTCTAATCCCTTAGATAAAAGAAGGATCAAAGCAACAGAAACATTCTTCTTCACATCGCCCTCCCATGGAGGGAGGAACTTGTTAATGGAGATGAGGAACTTGTTAATCTAGAATCAGAAAATCTCAGCTCTGGCTGGAATCATCATCCACATTCATTTGTAGATGAAGAAATTAGGTTCAGAATGAGAAGTGAAGGGGCAAAGGTGAAGTCTGTCTGTTCACTTTCTCTCTGGTAACTGACAAATGATGGGGCCTGATGGGAACCTGATTTTGACTAGAAAGATTTAGGGACTTACAGAAGTTATCAGAATCTTATTTATCTTTATACATCACTTGACATTGAAACTTGCCTTTTGGTAACAATTGTCTGAACGATGTTTTATTTCAATGTTTTTACATCGCCTAAAGAGTACAGAACTCCCCCAAATGTTTTATTGCCAAACTATTTAGCCTTGGGGCCAATACTGGATGCTTCCCATTCTCCCAAAACTGAAGAAAGTGAAAGATAAGATGACAAAGACTTGATCCCCTATTATTTATTATTGCTCTTATCACCTTCAGGATCTTAAACATCTTGAACTGTTACAGAACTCTGATCCCAAGAAAACTTGAGGCAATTCCTTCCAGAGAAAACAAATATGGTTCTGATTATTTAGTTAAAAGCTACGAATGGTGCTTGCTCTTGAGTTCTTTGACTAAAGGGAGAGTTCCAGAGGAAACAGTCATCATTCTGGTATGATCTTTTCCACAGGTGGCTCCAGTGATTAAAGCCAGAATGATGGAGTATGGAACCACCATGGTCAGCTACCAACCCTTGGGAGACAAGGTCAATTTCTTCCGCATGGTCATCTCAAACCCGGCCGCAACTCACCAAGACATTGACTTCCTGATTGAAGAAATAGAACGCCTTGGACAAGACTTATAATAACCTAGCTCGCCAAGCTGTTTCATTTCTCTAGGTAGACAATTAAGTTGTCACAAACTGTGTGAATGTATTTGTAGTTTGTTCCAAAGTAAATCTATTTCTATATTGTGTTGTGCAAGTAGAGTTCAAAAAAATCAGAAGAACATTGCTCCTTTTAAAAATCCTTTCTTAAGTTTAGAATACCTCTCTAATACTAATTAGTGACAAAAGGCTGTGTTCTAATCAATAAGGAAAAGCTTAAAATTATTATAAAGACTTCCCTTAGTTTTAATATAGTGTGCAAATCAAACTTTATTTTCACTTCAGAGTAGTAGGAATGAATAGTGCCAAATTGCCCCTGAATCATAAAAGGTTCTTTGGGGTGCAGTGAAAAGGATAAAGTAAATATAAAATGTATGTTGACAATAAAAACTCTTGCCTTTTTCATAGTATTAGAAAAAAAAATTTCTAATTTACCTATAGCAACATTTCAAATGTATTTAAATACATATAATTTTACAAAAGGAAAATATATATATTAAAAAAGAAATCCTATTTTGTAACATATAGATTTTTATTTTATATGGGTTATACAAACTGCAGGGGCAGATATAAAAAAATGAAGCCAGATTTTTTTTTTTTCCCTCTTTCCTTTAATGGAGGTCCCATCAAACACAGCAAAGTTATTTTAAAACATAGGCCTACAAACATTCTTAAAGGGTATGATTCCTTCTTTCTATGCATGTTCTGGCTTAACACATTCCCAAAGTCAGTATTTCAAAAGATACACAAGTTCTTTAAAATGATTGATTAGATTGGCCATGAGATTCTCTTCCCATTCAAGTTTTCCACCCAGTTGACCCTAAGCAGACTCACTTTGGCAAGCCAAGCTCCACCTTAGATTAAATTAGGTATCGTCTCCACTGGGCTTCCCAATTTGGCCTGTTTTGAACACAATGTTGATGCGGGTTCTTGAGGCATCTTCCCAAACAATATTCTTTTATTAGGTCATCTGGATTAATTAGAGAAAAAATAAAATTAATCAGCATGAGCAAAGAGGAAAGAAGCACGTTCCCAGAACATGGTAAGCCTAGAAAATGAAACTCAGCCTTGAGAGACCGGATCTCTGTGTGACAGTAATGACATCATGCTGGATGCCATATTGGTATTGTCCAGGAAAGAGAAATTTACCTCCTGAATTATTGCTTATTTCTATTCCTTCCCCATTCCTACCCACAAAAGTCTCTCCTGCTAGATTCCCTTATCACTAAGATCGCGAATAATTTCTATTCCATGGGTGGTGATTTCCCTTTCGTGAAATGAGCTTCCTGACCTACATTTTGAGATATCAACCTAAGACCTTCTCTCCCCTGTCTCTGGTCAAGATATAAAGTGATCAGCATGTGCAGAGGTAATGAGATCCTCAGAATCCAAAATATTAATAATAATTTTAAAACATCCTTCTTCCCCTGCAAACCTGATGGAGAGACATGAGCTAACAAAAATTTTTCAGGGATATTTAAGGGGGCACAGATTGTCAGATCCCAAGTGTCATAGGAGTACCATAAACTTTTATATGCAGGCTGCAAGTAATAATTTAGAAATATTTGCCCTTTCTGTATGGACCAGGCAATTCAATGGTCAAAAACTCGATTTTCCAGATACACAGGTGAAAAGAAAGGGTGTTATCCTACCGCAAGTAGAAATGCCCTTTGTATAACCACAGGAACCAACCATCTAAAACCTTCACAAGCTTGCCCCCCTCCACACACGTTATTTCTCCTAGGTTATATTCAAAAACACTGATGCTTGATATGAACATGGCTTTGGGCCCTTTCTACCGAGAAGAGAGATGGTTTCACTGTGACAATTACAAATAAATCTTCCTCTGAGCAGCAGAGTTTCACGAAGGAATAGCCTCCCCTTCTAGGCTCTGTCTAATGGCCAAGCATCCCTTTCCTTTCTAGAAAACTGGCTGCTGAGAATAAGCACATAGCTGCCCGTATGTCCTGAGTCTCAGGTCTGAAGGTGCCACCTCGGAGGCAGAGTCATTAGCTGGTCCAACCTGCCATCTTGCTTCGAGAAGTTGGTGGTACGACCCCTCTCTACCCCAGGATGCAGATCCATTGAGTGCTGCTTTTCAGATTCGTGGGTTGACAGAATTTAAAAGGACAACGTGTGCCTGTGTATGAAATTCCAGCAAAACAATTTTAACCAATAGGTTAAATTTGTTTTAACAACCGCCCCCCACCACTTCCTCAAATTTGATGACAGCCTTGCTGAGACCTACACAGGGAAGTCCCTACCAACCACTGCCCAGGGAAGGGATACATAAAAGCCTAGTGATTCCCACTAGTTTAATAAATACTCCTTAAAGTAGGATTGTAATCTTCTCAGGAAAGAGGCAGGATGAAAGAAGGAAGGAAGGAAGGAAGGAAGGAAGGAAGGAAGGAAGGAAGGAAGGAAGGAAGGAAGATTGTTTTGAATATTAGCCCAAATTCCCAGTGCCAAAGGTCTTTATGGAAACCATCCTTTATAAATTTTAGAAAAGTAAAGTTTGGTTTTAGCTTTAATCAGAATGGACATGGCCATTTTCATTTATACAGCAATATTGTGTTTATTATTTAAGATACTTGAAAAATAAAAGCGTGATATGTCTTTATCTGAGACCTGACCACGGGATGGACTTCATGTACTGTCACAGGACGTGAGGAAAGGAAAGGAAACCAATTGTGTGTGACTGTGTTGCCTTTCTTACATTGATAGAGTACTGTCTTGTCACCTCAAATTGGGGTCGTGCACTTTAGAGCTGAACTGTACAGTGTTGCAAATCAACATGTGTTTCTGTGAAAGCTTGTACAATATATTATTGGTATGTCTTTTTCTGTGTGGTAGCCGTATTGAACTTTGATATGAAAACAACATGTGTATCTGTTACTATTCTCTCTCTCTCTCTCTTTTCAAAACTCAATGCCCTCCACATCAGCTCTGATAGAGAATATCCCCGCCCCCCAGCTAAGCCCCGTACTGAGAAACCTCCTTTGAGAATTGTGTGATTTCACAAAATGCAAGGTGAACACGACTTTGTCTTTAAGAGTAGAGGAAACTAATTAGGGAGTGTCACCATCGCAAGTGTTGACTCTGCTGGGCATTGCCATTGGCTACTCCTCCAATTATGGACAAAGAAAGCACAGGTGTAAATATAGTAGCAAGACAGCCATCGAGGAACCTCACACCGGGTATCATCTTGCACGTGGTCTTCTATTTTCAAATGCTAAATGCAGACACCGTGTACGTATTAGTTATGTGCACCAAAATACTGTTCCAATTGGTGTTTCTGAATGGCATTGACATTCCATTACTGAAGACAGAAAAAATAAAAAACAAAAAAATAAGCTATACAAACATGTGGCAACCTGTTCTTCTTACCAAATATAAACTGTGTATGATCAAAGTATTTTATCTGTGTTGTCTCTCTAAACCCAAATAAATGTGTAAGTGTGGACATGTCTTGGGCCCTTATTTCGGACTTTGTCACATGATGACATGTGGTTAATCTTGTTTCATCCATTCCCTCCCCAATAATAAATTATTTTTATATGAATCTTTAAAAGAGAAGGACTCGTAAGTGTCCTCACCACCATTATCACAGCTAAAACTGTAATAATATCAAACATCTAGGGGGCATTCTCACTTCCCCCATTCTCTGTTCTGTAGCCCATGGCCTATGGCCCAGGTAACCCAGCAAGGCTGTGTGGTTCAGGACTGGTGGGTACAAGGCTCTATATATACACACAGCTGTGCACATGCTGTTGGGTATTTTCCATTGTGTTGAGTTTATTTCTGGACTTCTGTGGGTCTATGTGTTCAGGGGCTTGTCTCCCAGGCTCTCAGGAGCAGAGGCTAATAGATCTGAGAATGTTAAAAACTAGGAAACTGTAGGCATATAATGGGTGATGACATGAATAGACGTCTGATGTGCCTGGTCTGCTCCGGGATGCCTTTGGGAGTAAAAAAATAGGATTTCAAATAGGTGCTGAGGATGGAGCGACAGAAAAGGGAAGAGGATGGGGTTTGAAGCCTATTGTAGTATAGTTTATGGGGGAACCAAAGACAACAGCCAAATAAAGAGAGGCACTGAACATTCCTGCCTTTGTTCACGTTATCCCCTCCACCTAGCAAGCATTTCCCGTTCCTTCTCCATTGGGGAGACAATCTCTCATGAGCATCCAGAGCTCTGGCTCTGCAGCTGATCACCTGGGACCCAGTCACAGCCCCACCACTCACCAGTGGTGAGACCTAGAGCTCAGCTGACCCCCCGACTCTGATTCCCAGTTTTCCAACAGCAACCTGTTCACAAGGTTCTTTTGGGAGGGAGGAGGATTCATTAAGGGTACAGAGAACTAGGCTACACTCATTGCATTTGTTAGGTAAAGTCCTTCTTTGTGTCCCACCCCCAAGAGGTGTGTCACACACCATGACCCCTCCACCCCCCTCTCTTCTTCCCTCCCTCCACTCCCCTATTCCCCCACCCCCTACCATGTCCTAGATCATCAGTTGTCCTCATATCAGAATTGAGTACATTGGATTCTCGGTTCTCCATTCTTATGATGCTTTACTAAGAAGAATGTGTTTCAACTCCATCCAGGTTAATTAATATGAAAGGTGTAAAGTCTTCATCTTTTTTAGTGGCTGAATAATATTCCATGGTATACATATACCACAGCTTGTTAATCCGTTACTGAATTGGTGGGCATTTTGGTTGTTGTCCTTGCATTTTGGTGATTGTAAATTGAGCTGCAATAAACAATCTAGTGCAAACGTCCTTATGATAAAAAGATATTTTTCCTTCTGGATAGATGCCCATTAATAGGATTGCAGGATCAAACGGGAGGTCTAGTTTGAGTTCCTTGAAGATTCTCCATACTTCCTTCCAAAAAGGTTGTATTATTTTGCAGTCCCACCAGCACTGTAAAAGTGTTCCCTACTCTCCACATCCATGCCAGCATCTGCAGCTTTGA